TTTTTTTTTTTTTTTTTTTTTTTTTTTTTTTTTTTTTTTTTTTTTTTTTTTTTTTTTTTTTTTTTTCAAGTAAGCTTTTTTTATGAATTTTATAAGCCGCCTTTTTAGGACAAAGATCCATTAAGCATACGTATAATAATGTATAGATACACATGCACAAGAGCGAAAGAGAATAAGAGATAGTGATCGCGCTCGCGCAGACGCCTCTTGTGCACGTATATGTATAGTATACCAATCATCTTCCTCTGCGACATATATGTATATTTCCTGCGCACCCGCGCAGGCGCAGTATCGATCCTTGACGTCGACGGGAAAGGGTAAAGAGAAGAAGGAAGGAGAAAGAGATAGAGCATCAGAGCTATAGCTCAGCTAGCGGAGAACAAGCTCTCCCCTTACCGCACCGTTCCCTCAGTTTAACCCGAGCTTCGCTACGATACGCACCGCACACCAGTAGAAAGATATTGCTATGAGTGTTGTGACAAAGAGAAAGAGATAGAGAAGCAGTAGCAGAACGGAATGTAAACTCGTATAGTGTTTAATGTTGCTGTTTCAAGTGTTTCGCTGATGTCATCGTTCGCTTCGGTGGTGAATTACTATTAAGTTTTTCGCGAACAACCCAAGTGCTGCGCTGTGCCTTATTCGTTCGCGGAGTGTCGCACACACAACTTGTGCAGTGAGAATCAAGATGGCCGAGTTGACGAACGGAGCCCCGAACGCCGAGCACCAGAGTGAGGTTATGTCCGATGGCTTCTCCGAGTTTCATCGTTTGTTGCATGCTTTTTTACATTCGCGCAATCCCGAGGATAAAATGACGGATGATAACCTGGAGAAGGCCGCCGTCGAGACAACGATGCCCCTCAATGTACGCTTCAAGTTCGGCGAGAAGCCAGTTTGCAACTGGGTCTTTGAAGTCTCATCTAAAAGTTAGTATACGTGACGTGTATACGTGTATACACACTCGCAACCTATCTTTTTGACTCTCTCAGATTCGACTTTTTATTACGCTCACTTACTTGCTCTTTCTTTTATTACATTTTATTTCAACTTTTTTTTTCCCCCTCCTTTAAACTAATTTTCCAAAAAGTATTGTTCTATGTGCGTCGTTATATATGCGGATTATCTCCACTTTCTTTTTCAAGCTATTTTTATGTGAAGTACACATGTATATGTGCACACGGTCAGTGTTGGTGCGTTTGTTATTGTTTACGCCAACGAATGGCTGTCAAATGCAGGTTACACTGGCGTGCGGTGTCACTTGTGTATTTTTCTTCTTTTTATATCCTTAAAAAAAATTAATTGTATTCTATCGTATTTTGACGCTTATACCGCTAGCGCTCGGTTGAACTGACAATAAAATATTATTTTCAGGACCGACTCACTTGACGCAAGTACTATTGAGTGAAAATAGTTTAAAAAATGGCTTTAGAATAAAAAATGTTTTTGGTGAATACGTCAAAGCCACTGATTTAAGCGTCGGAGAAATTAATATTCACGAGCAAGGAAATTCAGAAACAGAGGCTGTTAGCTTCTATTATGTCGAAATTGAATTTAAAGTCTTACACTCTGGCACATTTTGCCAGGATGTTCTATTTAGATTTAACGAAGGGGCTTCGATTCGTCGTCAATTGTGCATTGATATTTTGGAAAGCGAAGAGGACAAGTTGCGCCTCATCAATGCACACAAGTATTTGGAAACTTTATGTCATAATGAGGAAAATGATGAGCAATTTACGATGATACCCTTTAAAACGACAATGCCAGAAGTTGACGCACAAGAAGAGAGCGTGACTAAAATTTACAAAAAACAAAACATCAAGAATTTTTTTTTGACCCATACGACGTTAAAGGATGCAAATCTTTATCCGCCGACGTATACAAGAAAATTGCATGAAATTTTGACTGTGGAAGAATTCGCTAGACGAGAGCATATAAGCCGATTCAATGCTGTGGCTTACATAAAGTTGGTCTCTGAACTGCAACTGGGAAAAGAGGAGTTATCGTATTTTAGATATGCTTCTCCCGGTGAATTATTTATACAGGTAAACATTAAATTTTATCCATTTTCAACAATTTCGTTTACAAACACGGCGACATTTTGATGCACGTCAAACGTTTTTTGTTTTGTTTTCAGCTGCCTTTGAGTCGCAATTTATCAGAAGATACAAAAAGCGGCCGACTTTTGCTGCGCAGTTGCAACAGCCTGATGCTACGACAAGTAATTTCAGGTGATAATTATCAAACAGGATTCAGCCTTGGACGAGAAAAATATGAAGCCCTTATCATCGAAAAGTGTAGTAACGTTATATACGGCAGAATCTCAAAAGACTGCGTTGAACGTTTTCAACTGAAACCAAACACTACGTCATTGATGTTTATCGAATTCATGATGAGTCGAACGCCTTTTTGTGATTGGCACAGAGCGATCGATTCTCTGCCTGATACCCGCATTATTTTCCCAGAGCGTAGATTGAGCAATTTTGCTAAAAATCGTATGCTGAAGTGGACTGAAGATTGGAGCTTTGAAGGATGTCAACTTAATGACAAACAAAAGGAAGCTGTTGCAGCAATCATGACTCCTATTACAGTTGTCTTACCTCCTGTTCTTATTCTTGGACCATATGGGACAGGCAAGACCTCTACAATTGCCCAAGCAATAAAGATATTGCTTACTAATGACGAGAATAGCAAACTCATTCTTTGCACTCACAGCAATAGTGCCGCAGATTTATACATAAGGGAGTTTTTCGATGTTTGGTTCAAGCAAAATCAAGATGAGCGGCTCCGTCCTATCAGGCTGTACTACACAGGGAGAGTCAGAAGCACTGTAAGTTTTAATTTTTACTTATTAATCACGTTTTTTTTTTTTTTTTTGGCTTGCGAGTAAAATAGTTCAATTGAGCACTATAAAACGTAACGCCGTGATATTTTGTTTTCCTTTCTCTTATAAATTTTGCGCCAGTAACTCCATAATTATGAATCATATTATCCGCCAAGAAAGAAATACTCTAATGTTAATTGATTACTTTCTAATTGTGCTACATAACCCGTGATTGTACCAAATAAAGAAATGACTACAAAAAAAAAACCTGCCAAGCTCTACAAAACGTTTAAATCGGTCACACGCTGTAAAACACAGCAATTTGTTCGAGTATTATTAAAACCAATTAATCTAATTATTACGCGAATCATTAGGTGAAATTGAACAATCAACAAAAAATTGTTATAATACGACCGTAAAATTTTTGTCTCTGTCAACAGGTCAACTCGACAGTTCAAAAGTACTGTTTATTCGATAGTGTGACCGGCCAGTTCCGCAATCCGACAAATAAGGATCTCGAAAATTGTCGGGTCATCATCACCACACTCGGGACCTCAAGCTGCCTGGGCAGCTTGAACTTCAAGCCAACGCATGTAATAGTCGACGAAGCGGCTCAAGCCTTTGAGTGCGAGGCCCTAACTTGCCTGACGCTAGCTACAAATACCACTCGCCTCGTACTTGCTGGTGACCAGATGCAATTGGCTCCCGAGGTCCACAGCGATCTTTCTCGAGCCCAAGGTCTTGGCGTCAGCATTCTGGAACGCATCAACAAGATCTACGAGCCCCAGCACCCGTGTCGCATTCAACTGTGCATAAACTATCGATCGCACTCGACCATCGTCAGCTTGACGTCGAAACTATTTTACGACAAGCAGATCAAGGCTGGCGCGAAACCTCGTTCGATTTCCATCTACGAACCGGTGACATTCATCGCTTGCTCGGGTTCGGCCGTCAAAGTCTCGGACTCGACCGGCTACTACAACAATCAAGAAGCTCAGGAGATCGCAGATCGCATAACCGAGCTTCACGAGAATTGGCCCAAGAACTGGGGTCCCTTCAACGAGAACTCTGTCTGCGTGGTCTCGCATTACGCCGAACAGGTGTTCCGCATCCGTAGCGAGCTGCGCTCACGTGGACTATCAAAGGTATCGGTCGAGCGGGTGCTCAACGTGCAGGGAAAACAGTTCTGCGTGGTCTTCATCAGCGCTGTGCGCACCCGCCAGTGCACTCGGGAGGCTGTTGGCTACAAGAACGACTTTGGTTTCTTGACCGACGAAAAACTGATGAACACCGCCATCACTCGAGCTCGAGACATCGTTGCTGTCGTTGGAGATCCTGTGGCTCTAAGCTTAACTGGTAAGGTTTCTCATCATACTACTTTTATTGTCGTCAGTTTGCATGAATATTAGTAAATTACAATTTGTGCGTTCTTTTTTGTGTTGCAGGACCTTGTAAGTTCCACTGGCGCAAGTACATTGAGGAAGCCAGTATCTACGGGATGGATCGTTACGACTATTTCCATTACATCATCAACAACAATCCGAATCTAGATAAAGAATCGGATGAATCAAATTTGAATCCGACGGCAGAGGAGTTTGTGCCGAGACCGCACACTAAAGTCGAGTATCCTGTATGGATCGAAAACGTTACTATGCCAGTAACTTACCCAATTATGCACTGCGTTTTTAGACCAAGTATTCCACAGTAATGTTAAGAATAATCACGAGGGAAAACATAAAAAAAAAAAAAAATGTGAAATTTTTACATAATTTGTACAGTGTAAATAGTTGGTATTAGTATATTAAACGTGTAAGTAAACTAAGCACTAATTATATTATTGTACAAATGTATTATATATGTATTATAATAAGACAGATTACTACAAATGAATAAAGTATACATAGAGCATTTTTAAATAATAATCCTTGACTCGTAATTTTTTATTATAATCATGCCAAAAATCCTATTTCTTACCATCGTTTCATACTTATTTTAATGATTCAGTAATTTATTGCGTAGAACACTAATTGCTTGAATAATGTTAGTTGTCGGTAAAGGTTCAAACAGAAAAAGTTCATCGTGGGCTTTGATCGCGTTGCATTTCCTATAGCATTCTTCAACAATAACCAGGGAGACGGAAAACCATTTCGGCGTAACTAAATTACAGAATGTCGACAAAGTAAATGAAAAAATTGTGAAATCGAAACAATCGGCAAAAAAAGCGTTGCATTTATCCATGCAATAAAAAAGCACATACGACAAGAAAAAAAACAAAGAGAAGATATTATCAATTATCATTAAAGTAATGAGATTTCGGGCTATAAACAAAAAATATTTATTACTATCGACATCTCAATTCATGTATTTTCACGCTCAAGTAGACAATACATGTATGTGCAAAAAAAAATTTAACTTCGCGACTCCTTTGCAACAGAAACACTTGGATATTGGGAAATTTTACTTCTTCAAAAACATCCATGTCGTACTACTCCGTGCAAAAACATTTGTCCTATCTTTATAAGCTCCGGCCCCACCCGACCTCGATCTCCCATTATCTCTGTCTGGCTCTTGGCGGTGATTATAGTCCGTTTTTAATGTTACTTACCTTGCTCCCTTCGATTAAATATGCTTATTGTAAAATAAATCCCCTTACAATTACAAGATTTATTTTTTTTTTTAATTGTAGAAATTTTTGTGAAATTCTATGTTTAACCAGACCTACGTGTGTTATTATGGTTTCTTGAGATGCTGATTACAAAGCGTTACAAATAAACCGCTGGAAAATAATTTTTTTTTATTCCATCAAAACAAAATTAGTTTACACTCTTCAATGCGGAATAAAAACTATTGTTAGGCCAACGGAGCGCGCGAGAGAGCGTAAAATTTGTAATCAAAAAGCTTCCGTTCCGACTATACTGGAGAAATCTTTTTTTTTTTTTTTAACACACGTTTGACTTTGTAAAATAAAATCCTCGAAAACGTTTCGCTTTGTACCGCGAGAAAAGCAAAAAACTAGATTGGATATTCCAGCTCTTTGTACATCCACTCGCGAAGTGATTTTTTTTTTATTCGTACACGCTTTTTTACGGAGTTTGAATGAAAAATCTCTTCGCAAATCATATATTTATTCATAACATTTTATTGTTATTTTAATTTTCGCGTAAAAAATTAATCCCAATAGTAGTAGTCTTTAAATGTAAAAAAAAGAAAAGAAGAGAAAAAAAATCGTAGACGACAAATTCTCGAGAAACGTAGTACAGCAAACCTTTTCCTGTAAATACCGAAACGTATAGACTCAAAGTTCTCGTCACGAACAAGAGGTCAAAGGTTTTGCAGAGCAGAATACAAAAGATAAAAAAAAAAAAGGAGGGTCGCACGCGCGTCCGTGTACGGTAACCGGACGGAGCTCTCCGGTGGCTGTCTCTTATCTAGTCGGAGCCGGTGTACGTATGGGATACCTGCACAGCCTCTCTATTTCCCCCTCGGCCTCCATTAAGCACGAGAAGGGAAAACTGATGTGACGCGTCCGGAGTAGGGGGGGCTCCTTTTCCACGTCGCGGAGCCTTTGCGGAATAAAACAATTTCGTTAACCTGTTTTTTTTTTTTTTTTTTTTTTTTTTTNGCAATAATAAATGTAAGAGAACTGGTCTGTAAAAATACAAGTATTTCCTAATTCTTGCACTATAATGAAATTAAAAAAGCTCGATAAACTTTCCACAGTCGACCTACCCGTTCGGTGTTTGTTTAAATCTTTGTCGAAAGGTAAGTTATGAAACCTAGTTTCTCTGTACTCGCGTTTCGCAAAACAATTTATATCCAGTTGTAAATATGTTGTATTAAAAAAAAAAAAAAAAAAAGAAGAAAACTCACCTCCTGAGCGTGGCCAGCCTGTGCTCTTGAGCGCTGATGTATCCGTTCAAGGTGTCGATGAGCACGGCCTCGGTGGTGAGCAGCTCCTCCATATCGACGAGGGCAGTGTACAGTTCGGCTCGGCCCGGCTGCAGTAGACCGGCCAGAGTCAGCCAGGCCAGCAGCCAACAGCTACGTCGGAACGACCATGCCGAAGACGAACGAGCCATGGTATGCTTTTCCACCTGAAATCCACAGAGACAGACGTGTTATGTCTCTCTCTCTCTCGATTGAATTGTTTTCTTCTAGCTCGCCTGGGGGAGATTGGTCGTCTCGTTTACGGAAGAAAAGGACTCTCTCGGGTACACGGTGCCTCGACGCGAAATAAGGTATCGTTGTTGGATCGACTACACGGTATTGGGAATAGTTTGGTGTTTGTTGGAGATGATTAGGAGAGCTCGGATACGCATAGGCAATTTCGCGCACAAAATTTAAGTACAAATTTTAACTCGATGGAAAATCGGGATACACGTGATTTTTTTTTAATTCCTGCCAAGCCTCCTTTTCACGGACTTTGCGAAGAGAAAACTTTAGCGTGTATTATCTTTCCATTTAAGACCTCCAACCACTGGAAAAGTTTGCCACGCGGGAGGGAAGGAGCGAAAGTTTGAGCGCTAAAAACTAGATCCTACTTTGAAATGCAACACAATCATCATTAAAATAACAATGGTGATGATTCGTGGGTTCACGTGTGCGGAAAATGATTTTTTTTTTTTTTTTTTTTTTTTTCTCCTGAAAAGGAAAAGTTAATTCGCGAGCGTTAATGCCAAGCGAACGGTCCTCCTTTGGCTCAAGGAGAAGGAAGCGAACTAAATAACCATTTCCGTTCTCCGTAGAAGAGGTGGGGGGAAAAAAAGCGTAGACCACCTGAGAATAATCAAATCGTTATGACGTCTCGCGTCGTGCAATTAAATTGCTCCCGACCAGACCACATTCTCGTGTCGCGCGAAAAGTAAAAATTAATTTCACCGTCCCCGCGAGTTAATTATTCAACCCAAGGATGAAACGATTCCCGCTCGCTCGTCTCGAGCTTTTATTTGCCAAACGCGCGAGAGTCCCGGAATTAAACCGCGAGGAAAAAAGTTTTCACCCAAAAACACAATGACCCTTTCTCCGTACATAGTGAAAAATATTAATGAAATAATCCAGCCGAAGCGTGTGCGTTTGTAGTTTCACTCGTTCACGAAAGCTCAAATCCCGCTTTTTCTCTGGAAGCTCGTACAAAAGCTCCGATGGTCTGCCTTGGAGGAAAAAAAAAAACTAGAAGACGGAGAGGAATCCTCGCGTTTGTCTCGGTTTCATTACAGCTCGTACAAATAAGCGACAACGACGGCCAGCACTGCAATGCACTATACAGCAGCTTGCGCGCTCATCCTCGACAAAAATGTAGCAAGAGAAAATAAAAACAAAACAAAAAAACAGGTGGGGGGACAGGCATAATTTTTCCCGCTAGTGCTTTGGGCGCAAGGAGCTTTTTTTAATTAGCATAAAGTCACCGTAAGGACACAGAAAACGAGGCGAAAAATCTCTCGCGATATTCTTCCCCGGGAGCTTTTCTCTCGCCTTGTTTTTTAATACACCCACCCCCTCCCCTCCCTTTTCGACTTGCTTTTTAATTAAGAGCTCGTCGATGCCGCGTCTGGGTTTTTCTGTTTACTGCTCGTACATACACATACGCACGCGAAGGAGACGCGGGGGGGGGGGGGGAATTTATCGACGGCGTATGGCTGGGGCGCGCTGAAAAGCTCCTTTTTGCAAGCTCCCGTGGATCAATGCGAGAATTTAATTAAGAGCCGCGTGCGTACTTGGGTTTGGAGGGGGTTGCGTGTGTGCATTGAAACGAAGTCGATCGTGACGTGGTGGGCAGAGAGGGTGGAAAGAAAGCCGCGGATGGGAGCGCGGGTGCCGTCGACGAGGAGAGGAGGGCGAGGATAACGTATCGTGCGTGAGAGTACGGGCACGCGTTTGAGGGACTGTACGTCGGGGATGGTGGCTTGAGGATTAACGCGGGGCGAAGGGGGGGGGCTCTCGTGATGGGTTTCTTTTCTCTCGCTTCGATTTCGTTCCCTCTTGTTTTAATCTTGCTTTTTTTTCGACCTGTCTACGAGCGAGGAGCTTGCAAACGCAGCGGAAGCGCTGTCCGGCTGGTCTTTGCAGCTTTGGAAGCGATTTATCTTCATTTTAGATGTTTTGCTGCATCTTTCAAGTTTTCGGAAAGTTCGATTTTAATCATTAATAGTGTCTATTTTTGAGATTGATATTGCGAAATGTTGATTTACGAAGTTATCGAAACATAATTTTGGAAAGGGGAATCGAATATTGTTTCATTTTCGAAATATACCTGTAAGCGTTTGGGTGTCTCTTGAGACAACAGTACCGTGCTTTTACGTGATTTGAAGCAACATGCTTTAGTTGAGTCCAGATACCGGGTGGAATTCAGAACCATGTAACATGTATTTTTAACTGCGGCTCAATAGAATAGAAAAAAAAAAAAAAAAAAAAAAAGATTCCCCATCAGCCTACCGGTAAAAAGTAATCTTTGCGCATCGACCGATAGTTAGCCATGCACAAGTGCAGTGTGAGTCGTCTATAGTTGGTATCCGTAACGTATCTCGCTTGCGAGCTTCTAATTATTTATTTCTCCCTTCCCGCCAGCAGTGATTTGTATCTTTCTTCCTTGTATCACTAGACGAGCTGACAGCTGCTACTGCAGTTTTGTGTCTTCTTCTGTGCTCGTTCGTAGGCTTGGATAAAAAAAAGGGGGGGGGGCGAACAACAAAAGAGGCTGATGACGATGCAGCAGAAAGAAAAAAAAAGATAAAGGAACGGTGAGCAATGCTCCCAGCTCTTTTCTCTCTCTTTCTCTGTATGTACGTGCGTGCGTGTGTGTTGTACGTACATTAAGTACTGAGGTATAATATATTGTGGCATGAAAGCGTGAAAACTGCACACGCACATTTTTATTTTTTTTTTTTATTTTTTTTTCTTTTACGCACGTAGTTGTCCCCAGTAAGGTTTCTCCTATTGCACTGCTACTGCTGTTGCTACAGCTTTTGCGGCGACGTTACAGCTTTGACCACGCGGTCGAGTGTCGCTCGAAAAAATAGTAAAAGAAATGAGATTTAAAAAAAAAAAAACGTACACGAGCTTTCGCCGAACTTTTTACGAGGAAGCCTTTCGTTTACTGCCTCTGCTTCTTTTTTTTTTTTTTTTGTTCCGCTGATCCTCGCGGTAGCTGCGCATGATATCCTTTGAAAGTGGTGAGGCGCAAAATTTAATTTCGAGGTTTTTATTTCGACTGGCCTTTGTTGGGCGAAAAATTTTAGAGCAATCCAACACTCGTGTGCTCGAGCGAGATTTTTTTTCTCTTTTAACGCCAACTCACCGCTATCCTTGCTCATTGGCAATTTAGCTTTTACAAACCCTCTGGTGATTATATTCGGATGCTGCAAAGTACTCAGCAAAAATTCTTATAACACAATACACGTAGTTTTTGATCACAGGAGTAGCGAAAGTGAGTTCGTATCTTTTGGTAGCTATAGTTTTGATGGGTCGTTCAATGCTAGTAACGATATCTGAATTTGTACGAAAAAAAAAAAAAATTTTTAATTAAAAACTATTTTGGTGAGCGATTCATCCACTCTGCCGTAGTACCAGCACATCGAGACAAAAGGGGCGAGGGTGGCGGATATGTTAAATTTTTTACAAAATTTTTCGGCCTTTCATCCGCTTTTCCAGCATCCCTCCATATTCCTCTCTGCTGCGCACACTATACGTACACCCACTCATAACGAGTTCCGGTGCCAGCCCCTGCGAAGTAAATTGCTTTACAAGGCCCCGGCGCTGTTGCTCTCCAGTATTTTAGCGGTGAATTTCGCCCGCAGCAGTAACCAACTCGTACACACGCACGCATACCTATACAATTCCGGGATAAAGAAAGTGAGGAGGGTAAAGACAGGTACACACGGTGTATATTGACGAGAGCCGCGCAATTTCAGCGGTGTTTGGTAGCGCGCGAATTCCTCCCATCGGGAGCTTGCGCTGCAAGTGCATGAGGTATCTCAAAAAAAAAAAAAAAAATTTATTTACGAGTCCCTCGAAATCGGAAATTTTTTTTTTCAAGCATATCTTCGGGAAAGCTGTCGAAAATTTCAGCTCCTTGTGTAAAATAATATCGTATTCTACACGTACCTCCCAGTGTATTATATGATACAAGGAAACTGTGGAAGTACATAATATCGCAACTTTTTTTTTCTAAGATTTAATGTAACGTTCGAAAAGTGCTTTGAATCGCCTCTTTTGATTACTTAAATAGTTGATGATTTGTTAGATAATATTGAGTATTGCATAAGAAATGAAAAACTGCTTTGTAATTTTGATGTCCCGTAAGATGTATATTTTAATTTTAACACAAATTACAATGATTGACACTTGTATGAAATTTTGACAACAATTTGACAGACAGTGAAAAATGTACGTGTAAAAAATTACAAAGTCTATGAGGGAGCTTCAGTGAGCCTTGAAAGAAATAGCAGCTTTGCAAGTCGACCGAAAAATTGAGGCACCTACCCATACATACATACATAAATTTCAGGTAATGCTGAGGCCGAGGCATTATTCAGAGACGATAAGAGAAAGAAGGACGAGACGTCTCACAAAAGCTGCTCTTGCTCCTTGAACATTCACGAAAAGCTGGCTCCTGTCTTTCGTGGCTAGACCCTATGTACATCTACAAAGAGAAAAAACGAAGACAAAGGGACCTCTGAAATTTTCAAGGTGAACAAACTTATCATTCACGAATCCCTCTTTTGTCGATTTTTTATCAATCAAACTGTTTGCAAGGCTCAGATACAATTAAGGGAAAACACAACGTCAGGATTATTCCCAACACCGTTGCAATGCGGCTCGACAAGTCGCGCAAGTTTTCCTTCATCGATATTCTATAAAGTTGCACAACACGCGTTACACGTTTCTCTGCCGTTCGTAAATGCGTTTTGAAGAAAATTTTTTAATAAAAAAGTTTCCAAACCCCGCGAAACTCGCCAACTCCGGCTGGCTTGGACGGCCGTATTTTTGTTTCGACAACTCACGCTTAGGTACACCTCGAGAGAACAAAAAGACAAACGATGATGATCGCGAAAAAAAAAAAAAAAAAAAAAAAAAAGAAGAA